AACCTTGTCCTCATGAGACATACATGCTAACACAAAGAAGATAAAGTATTTGATTAAGGAGGAAAGCCAAGAAGTAACCCCAAACTCAAGCCACAGAACCAATAAAACACTTACGCACTTAACCAAAGATCGTGAAGAAACCAAATCTGAACCAACAACATAAGACGGAACATAACGTAAACCCTGAAGGACACCCAGACACCTGGAGAACCCCAACGCGGCTCTAAGAGTCACTTAACCAGCATACAGAAGAAGCGAGCAAGAACACAGGGAGATAAAGGCAACATAGCACAGAACCAACGTCGAGTAGCCTTAACCTTAGAAATCGGGAAACATATGAGACAGTGATGCCAAGACAATAATAACCTGACCACCGAGTCTAATCGAGAATACCAAACCAACCTCTGAGACCAACCAAACACATAGACCACAAACAAACGCCTTGGACCAACAACAAACACATCTCCTCACCCAAAAGAACCCTACCTCACAGAAACCATACAAAAGACAAACCACACTACTCCACAACTAGAGCACCAACGAATCAATGAGATCACAAACAAAAGCTAGAGAGAGTTCGAATATACCCGATGAAACATAGGCAGAAGAAACCTAATGCACACAACTTCATCAAGCCGCCACCAACCACCAAAGGGCCGACGAGAGAAGACCAAAGAGAAACCGGCACGAGATCTCAAAACCAACCAAAAAGGCGACCATAGATCAATCATGAGCAGCTCCCGACCAAACTCCAAACCATCGACTCCACAAACCAAACTCAGCCCAAGCCAACTCGAAACCCTCACTAAACCTTGCAAATCTCAAGAACCGAAACTACATCTAGCCAAAAGAGTCCACAACTAAGCTAATACAACCCAAATAGAACTCTAAAGGCTTAAAATAAGGATCGGTACCGACGCTATGGAAGCCGTCGGCCACCTGACCGAGATCGAAATTTTTTTTGCGAAACTTAGCGGCTGCTTAGGTTTCTCCGCGGAAGAAGTGATTAACCCATATTTTTAAACCATATTTTTTCACAAAAACGATCAAATCAGTTACGACAATTATTTCATTTAACTTTATCACGAACTATTCTAATCTGAATAATCCGATATTAATTGGACCCGAGCTAAAACGGTGTTCACCGCCTAATGACTAATGGTAGATTACATGTATGACAAAGAAAAAATTTATTACATGTACACGGCGTCACCGTAGTCTCAGTTAACTCTACATTGTGAGAACTTGTTAAAGAATATATCCGTACTGTTCATTTTTCTTGTAACAACAAGAACAGAAATCTTGTCAACAACAAAATTATATTTTATGAAATTATTATTTATACGAAATTGTTTAAAATGTCACGTCAGCAAATCTCATATATATCCTATGGTATTAGATGGCACGTCGTGTACAGAGTTCACAACTTCGTCAAATTAATTTGTTAAAAATCAATTTGCCACAAAAGTCCAAAATTAAAATGCTTTTTCAACTAAGGCTTTGATTGGTAGCATGAGTTGGTATTGATTTAGTTTGAGTTAAGGGTCTAATTCATTGATAACTCAAAAATGTTATCAATTATGAATCAAACTAAAATTTTAGAATTTGAGTTTGAGTTATCATGAATTATGGTTGATTCACCATTTTGAGTTATGTTCTTTGTTAAATTGCTAACTCAAAAGTTAATCCAACATCATGAAAAATGGGATGAATTAAATATTGAGTTAAGTGTTTTTGTTGCTTTTTTGTATTTAACGTGACCTCACTTTTTTTTTTAAAGCTATTTCCAATTTTAATTATTTTATTATGGCACACAAAATAATAATTCCAACAAGATATTGTATTTAATTTTTAATTAACATGGTTCTATCAATTTGGTTAAAGATTTTTGATTCAAAC